GAGCACAGTGCCGGCGGCCGCCTCTCGTCAAAAGTTAGACTCTACTCTTTTCTTTAATCTTCATTGATTTACACGCACAGAACTGGGGTACAGGCCAGAGGTGTGGTGGGTGAGAGGACTCCCCAGAGACAGAGCGGGGAGAACAGGCGGGCCCACACACTGCTGAGGGGGCAGTGGGCGGTCAGGAGAGGTCTGCCAGGACCGGGGGTCAGCTCCCTGGCCGGGATCGGGGGCCGAATTCGAGCTGCGGTGGCTTTGGAGAGCTTCATCAGGTAGTGTTCTAACCCCTCGCGCCACCAGGGAGAGCCCTAAACTCTACTTTCTTTCTTTCTTTTTTTAAATGACTTGAAGGTGGCAAAAGAAGAGCCTACACACGAAAAGGTGTTCGTGGAGGAAGGAAATGGCGGGGCCCGGACTCTGCCTCAGAAAGCCACCGAGGACTCTGCCAGGCAAAGGCCACGGCCCCCGCAATGAAGCGCCGAGCAGCAGCCCCGCCCAGCAGTGCGGCAACCCCCAGACACAGCAGTCCCCCCAGACCCGCTCTCGATCCCCGGGTGGCTTCGAAACCTTCAACTGCCACAGGCATCGATGTTTATTTTCAGTTTTGTAGCTTTTCAAGACTTTCCACGATGAACATATAGGTACTTTTACAAATAATACACCTCCGGGAGAAACTCTGCCAGGAAGGTTCAGGTGGTGGGCAGTGCCGGTGGGCAGTGCCAGCCAGCCGGGCCAGACTGCAGAAAGCACCAGGCAGGCGCAAGGAGCCTGCAGGAGAAAAGCGGACACTGGGCCCGGGAGCGGCGGCCAGGCCTCCCGCAAGGAGCCCACGCCAGCTCCGCAGCGCCCGCACGAGCGGCCTGGTGGACACCGGCCGCGGCAGGCTCGGGAGTCACGGAGGGCGGGCGCCATGCCGGGGTGCGACGCGGGAGCCGTGGAATGGGGTGACCCTCAAAGACCCTCCTCCACCAGGGGCCGAGCCCGGGGCAGAAAGTGTTCTAAGAACCTGATGGAAAAACCGGACGACAGGAACCAGTAGGCCACTCCATAAAGAAAGCGTAGGTCTCTAAACACAAGTGTCCATCTATTTTTAAAAAGATTGATTTATTTATGCACACAGAACTGG